CCATGTGTCCCAGGCTGGCCTTGAACTCATGGCAACCCTCCTGTGTGCTGGGTTACAGGCGTAAGCTTGTAATACTTGGATTTTATTATCCTTTTAGTGTCCATGGGCTCTGTAGTGATAACTTCTTTTTCTATGTGATTTTAGTAATTTATGCCCTCTCTTTTGTGAAACTGGCTCAGAACTTATTGATTTGGTTGATCTCTTCAGAGAATTAGCTTTTGATTTTGTTGATTTTGTCTATTAATTTCTATTTGTAATTTTATTGATTTCTACTCTAATTTTCTCTCCTCCTCCTCCTCCTCCTCTTCTACCTCCCGTTTCTCTCCTTCTTATGGTATTGAGGATAAAAGACTTAGGTGCCTTGTCATTAAGCTGTGCCCCATGCCCCTTAAAATTTTGAGACATGATTTTGCAAAATTGTCCAGGCATGACTTGAACTTGCCATCTTCCTGCCTCAGCCTCCCAAAGTTCTGGGATCACAGGTATAAACCATTATTCCCAGCCCTTTTCTTATTATTTTTTAACATTTTATTGGGGCCAGGGATTTAGCTCAGTGGCTTAAGCACCTGCCTGGCAAGTTGCAAGGTCATGAGTTCGATCCCTGGTACCAAAAAAAAATTTATTTACCTAAAGAAAAAAAAAAAGAAAACAATACAAAACAGAAGGTAGAAGTGATACAGAATTTCAAAGAAAAATATTAACATTAAGAAATTACTGTTTCATAAGTTACATGTTGTCCTCTTAGAAATAGTTGTTCAAGTTACAAAATCACAAAATAAAAGGTGAACCCTCAAACATTGACAGTGTAGACCATTCTGTTCAGTGATCTAATGGAAACTTAGTAATATGGTCATTTATCCTACACACTTGAACATTTATATAGTTATATCCTTTAGAGCACTTTCCTTCCCTTTCATTTTTATAATATCTGTTATGTATTTTGGATCTTATTACTCTTTCAGTTTTTATAATTCCTTTACACTAGAAAGACAATGTGATATTTACTAATGTGAGATTTATTTATTTCACTTATGAGGATAGCCTCAAGTTGCCTCCTACCTATAAAGGCCTCAAGATCACCCTTTTTTATAGCTGAGTAATAATCCATTGAATAAAAGTACCACATCTTTTTCATCCACTCTGCAGTTGATGGGCATTTTGGTTGTTTTCAAGATTTAGCTTTCACAAATTGTGCTACTATAAACATGGGTGCACATATATCACTGTGGCACGATCTTTTCAAATTTTTGGGGAAAATACCCAGGAGGGAAATAGCTGGGTTGAATGGAACCTCTAATCCTAGTTTGTTGAGGAATCTCCAGTCTACACTCCCACCAGCACTGCAGAAGTGTTCCTTTTTCCCCAGCCTCGCCAGCATTTGTTAGTTATCAGTTGTTTGCTTGATGGCAGCCATTCTTTCCGGAGTGAGATGAAATCTCAGTGCTGTTTTAATTTGCATTTATTGAATGACCAGTGATGGTGAACATTTCTTCATGTATTTATTTGCCATTTGTATATTTTAATCTGTGAAATGTGTGCTCATATGAGATGCCCAGTTTTGTAAAGGGTTTTTGATTTGGGGAACTTGATGTTTTTCAATTCTTTATATATTCTGGATATAAGTCCTTTGTATGAGGTATTGCCAGCTAAAATTCTTTCTTATTATCTGAGTTTTCTTTTCACTTTGTTGGTGATTTCCTTTTGAAGTGCAGGAACTTTTTAATAAGATGTTATCCCATCTTTAATAACATGTTCTTCCTGTTGATTCTTTGAAGTATTTCCCATGCGGTTTGTGTTTTGTTCATGAATTTTCTGCCTATGCCTATTGTCTCCAAATTTTCTACCTATCTTGTCTTCCAATATATTTAGTGTTTCTGTTTTAATATTTAGATCTTTGATCCATTTTGACTTTAGTTTAGTGAATGATGATAGGCATGAATCTAGTTTCAGTCTTCGGCATATGGAAAGCCAATTTTTCCAGAGGCTAGCTTTAAAGAGGTTATCTTTCTTCCAGTGAACATGTTAGCCCCTTTGTCAAATATCAGGTGGCTGAATGTCTTTGTAGTCATGCTTGCAACTTCTAATCTGTTCCATTGCTCCTCAGGTATGTTTCTTTACCAGTATCATGCTGATTTTATTACTGTGGCTTTGTAGTATAATTTCAAATCAGGAATTGAGATGCCTCCTGCCTTGCCTTTGTTGCCCAGAATTACCTTTGCTATTCTAGATTTCTTCTGTTTTCAAATGAATTTTAGGAGTATTTTCTCTAAATCTGTAAGGTATGTTAATGGTATTTTGATTGGGATTGCATTAAATCTGTATAACAGTTTTGGGAGTATGGCCATTTTCATAATGTTAGCTCTTCCTAACCTAGAGCAAGGAATATTCTTCCATTTTCTAATATCCTCTTCAATCTCTTTTTTAAAGAGTAGTATAACTTTTGGCATATAGGTCTTTTATATTCTTGGTTAGGTTGAGTCCCAGGTATTTCATTTTTTTAGATGCTATCGTGAAAGGTGATATTTCCATAATTTCTCTCTCGGTGAGTTTTCCATTTGTGCACAGGAATGCTATTGGTTTTTGAGTGTTGACTTTATATCCAGCTACACTGCTGAATTTGTTTATTACCTCTAATAGTCTTTTTGCAGAGTTTTTTGGGTCTTCTATATAAAATATGATGTCATCTACAAATAATGATAATTTTACTTTTTCCTTTCCTATCCTTATTCTTTTTATTTCTCTCTCTTGTCTAATTGGCCTGGCTAGTATTTCCAGAACTATATTGAATAGGAGTGGTGACAATGTACATCCTTGTCTTGTTCCTAATTTTAGTGTGAAGACTACTACTTAGTATAATATTGGCTGTTGATTTGTAATAGATGGCCTTTAAGAAATTGAGGTAGATACCATCTATTTGAGTTTCTGTAAGGTTTTTATCATGAACAAGTGTTGGACTATATCAAAAGCTTTCTCTGCATTTATTGAGATGATGATGTGATTTTTGTTTTTGGTTCTGTTGATGTAGTATATTACATTTATTGATTTGTGTATGTTAAACCATCCCTGCATTCCACTCTCTTGCCGGGCCTGTGAAGGTCTTATTCTTCTGCTCCTATTTACCCACTGCAGAACTCTATTTTAGAGGCAAACTCATATAGGGGCAAACTCATCACACTGAATGAAGCCTGCTGAGGTCTTTTGTTTGGGTGAGGGGCTCCTGAGTCTCCCATCGAGCCAACACAGTAATCTGCTATAGTCCAAGTTTCTGGGAGAAAGTGTTGGAGCCAAAGATCAACTGCAGTACTAGGTTCAGGAGATGGGGGGGGTGCTGCCGTGGTGGTCCAGGGTGTCCCAGGCATGCTGGGAGCATCCCAGGAGTGCCGGCGAAGGGCGGGCCCACAGCGGTGGTCCAGGGCATCTCAGGTATCTCTTCTTATTATTTTGAACTAATTTTATTTTAAAGAGAAAGAAAGTAGAAATAACAATAAAACAGAGTTTCAAGACAGGCTAGTAGGACAGTAGCAGTAATTAGTACATAGTATTGTTGTCTACTTAGTAGTTATTCAAAGTACAAGATAGTACTTAGTCTACTTAGTAGTCTACTTAGTAGTTATTCAAAGTACAAGATATAGGCATGATAGCTTGTCCTTTCCATGAACTTAGAGAAACTAGCTATATTACTTTTTTTTTTTTTTTTGGTAGTGAGAATCAAACTCACGACCTTGAGCTTGCCAGGCAGGTACTGTGCCACTGAGCTATATCCCCAACCTGTGTCACTATCTTAACTATCATATATATATATATTTTTTCCTTTTCCCTTCCTTCTTTTCCATTTTCCCCATCACAATTTCTATTGTTTTTTAAAGAGAAGAAAAATAGAAATAAAAAATAGTTTCAAATCAGACTAATAGGACAGTAACAATAATACATTGTACATTGTTATCTTTATGAAAGTTACTCAGAGTATAAGATATAGGCATGAAATAATATCTAGACAATGTTAGCATGAATCTTTCTTTTCAATGAACTAGGAGAAAATAGCTGGATAACTATCTTAACTATCTTGTGTATATGTGTATATAATATGCATAATTTATATATGTATATATACACACATATATATAAAATATATATTTCCCCTTTTCTCTTTCCTCCTTTTCCCTTTCCTCCATTAGTTTCTCTTTTAAAGTTTCTCCCCAATTCACAATATCTATTGTACTTTTGGATCTTATTTACTCACTCAGCTCCTCACACTATTGAGACTTTATGATGTTTACATCTGTGGTCTGATTTACTTCACTTACAAGTATGGTCTCAAGTTCCCTCCACTTACCTGTAAAAGTCCACAATTTATCCTTCTTTATGGCTGAGTAGTATTCCTTTATATTTAAAAAAACATCTTTTTTTATCCATTCCTCATTGATGGGCATTTGGATTGTTTCCAAGATTTAGCTATTACATACCGTGCTGCTATAAACATAGGTGCATATGTATCACTGTGGTATGATGTTTTTAATTCTTCTGAGAAGATGGCCAGAAGGGGCATGGCTGAGTTGAATTGGTCCTTTAATCCTAGATTTTTAAGGAATCTCCACTGATTCCACAGTGTTAGCACCACTCCACACTCCCAGCAACAGAGAAAGATATCTTTTTCCTCACAGCCCTTCCAGCATTTGCTATTGGTCAATTTCTTTGTAATGGCCATTCTTTCATGGGTGTCTCAGTATTGTTTTAATTTGCATCTCTTGAATGGCTGGTGATATTGAACATTTCTTCATGTATTTCTTTGCTGTTTGTATTTATTCATCTGAGAAGTGTGTATTCATCTCAGATACCATTTTTAGATTGAGTTTTTGAATTTGGGGGGCCTGATTTTTTCAACTCTTTGTATGTTTAAATATGTCTTACTTTGAATTTAATTTGCTCTTTTTTTAGTTTGCCAAGGTAGAACCTTAGATAATTAATTGTAGAGCTTTCTATTTTTCTTTCTTTCTTTCCAGGGTGTCCCAGGCATGCCAGGAGCGTCCCAGGTGTGCCGGTGAAGGGTGGACCCACAGCGGTGGTCCGGGGCATCTCAGGTGTCTCTTCTTATTATTTTGAATGTATTTTATTTTAAAGAGAAAGAAAGTAGAAATAACAATAAAACAGAGTTTCAAGACAGGCTAGTAGGACAGTAGCAGTAATTAGTACATAGTTCTTTCTTTCTTTCTTTCTTCTTTCTTTTTTTCTTTCTCTTTCAAGAACAGAATATATTTATTATGGAAAGAAAGCTTCTGTATGAGAGAGAGATAGAAGGGGTCATGAGTGCATTGCTGAGGACCTGGACTTTACCAGGGATTTTTAAAACCATGAAATGAGATGAGTCCAAGGTGGGGACAAATGGGAAATCACAAGGTGTGTTGTGAGGTGAGACAAAACTATGATCAATCAATAATATTTTGTTTTTCTAATATAAGCATTCATGCTACAAATTTCCCACTTAACAGACTGACTCCATAGCATACCATAAATTTTGATAAGATGTATTTTCATTTTTTAATCCAATTTTGTAAATTCTCTTGAGATTTCTTCTTTGACTCATGTATTATTTGGAAGTGTGTTGCCTAATTTCCATGTATTTTGGGGTTTTCCAATTGTCTTTGGCTTCTAATTCCATTGTGGTCTAGGAGCAGACATTATATGACTTTCTTTCTTTGACATTTTCTGAAGTGTGTTTTATGACCCAGAAAATGAACACTTGAGGTCTATTGGAGTGAATATTCTTGTGAGCATGAGAAGATTGTGTCTCCTGCTATTGTTGAGCAAAGTTATCAGTAGATGTCAATTGCTATCAGCTGGGTTCAGCTGGTTGATGCTACTGTTGAGTTGTACTCCGCCCTTATTGGTTTTCTAACTGCTGGATGTATCCATTTCTGATGGAGGGTAGTAGAAGTTGTCAGCTGTCACAGTGGATTCCTCCATGACTCCCTGCAGTTCTATCAGTTTTTGCTTCACTTTTTGGCGGTCCGTTGTTAGGTGTGTGCACATTAACTATTATATCTTTCTTAGAAAATTGACCTTTGACATCATTATGTAATGCCTCTCCTTATCCCTAATAACTTTCTTTACTTGGAAGTCTGCTGCCTAAGACTAATATAGCTCTTCCCATAATCATTTTATTTGTGGGGTTAGTGTGTCATTCTTTATCCATTTGCTTTTAATCTATATTTTTTTATTTCAAGGGACTTTTTAAACAGCATATGATTAACTCCCATTTTTATGCACCCTATTTGTCCTTTAGTTGGTGCAATTAGATCATTGATGCTGGAAGTTTTTATTGATAGAGCTAAATACCTATCATATTTGTTACTGTTTTGTATTTGTTGCCCTTGTTCTTTTTTTTTTAACCTGTTTTTGCTTTCCTCTCTCTTCTCCCTTTTGTAACTTTAAACGAGTATATTATGATTTTGTTTTTTCTCCTGTGTTAGTGGTGTCATTCATTCCACTTAGGTATAAGCATAGATAAGTATGTATGTGTGCGTGTGTTTCTCTGTCTTTACACACACACACACACACACACACACACGAATACATAACCAGATAAATCTTGTTATTATTTTGCACAAATTTTTATCTGTTAATAGATCAAGTGAGAGTAAAAAATAGGCCAGGCACACTGGGAGATTCAGTCAGGAGGATTGCAAGTTTAAGACCAGCCTAGGCAATGAAACAATTTAGTGTGTCCCTGTCTCACAATAAACAATATAAAAAGGATGAGGGATGTAGATCAGGGTGAATCCTCTGGGTTCAATCCACAATACTGCAAAAAAAAAAAGATATTTTATTTTACCCTAACCCACTTAGAGAGCTTACAACCAACATGACCTCTTTCTCCACTGGCCAAACCCGTTGCCTTTATTTCTGGTTCTCCATAGGGCCCTTCAGAATCTCTACATCCTGAATCTGTTTGCCATGGCCCTCCCTATTGCCAAGTTAATAGAAAAACCTTGTCATATTCTTGACCCTGTATGGCAGAGACATTCAAGGCCTTGGTTAGTTACTTGCATTTTGTGGGAAACTCCATGGAAATAATCTTGGAAGAAGAGACCCTAAATGGTGAGATACTCATACGTCAAAATGTATGTTTGGGATTTGGGCAAAGATGTGGTATCAGGAGCTTTTACACACCAGCACCTTCCCCCACCCCCTTGCTCCTCAGTCACCCTTGACTTGATGATCGCTTGTTACACAAAGATCCTTGACTGATCATGCAGTGGGAAAACCAAGTTGGCCCCAAGCTGAGCATCTCTTGGCCATTCTATGAACAGATCCCTGCTCTGTGGTGTCCTTCTGCCAACTCTTAGGATTAACACTGGGTACCATGAAGTATGAGGCATTATCTCAGGTAATCTAGCTTCTTTCTGTTTTCTACATGTATCACTTATTCATTTAACAGCCATGAATTGGGCACTCACTTTATACCAGACATTGATTAAGGTTCTGGAGAATGAACCAAAAGTCAGATTCTGGAAGGTACTTGCTTTTTTTTCTAGACTCCCAGTTGGGATCTGGAGATGTGGAAAGGGAAGATCCTCCCTCCCTCTGCTCCCACCTGAAAGGGTCCTTCCTCCCTGCTCCTTCCCATTCCTCCCTGTTTTCCATCTCTGTCCCATTGATCTGATTAGAGTTCACTTGTCTTATCTGTTTGCCTTTCTGCCCCAGCAGTATTTACCTTTTTACCTGACAGAGAGCTCTATTCCTTCTCTGCAAGAGGACATTTTCCCTCACTTCTCACACTGTGTTCTTAAAACCATGATGTTTCCTCCTCCTCAAGCTTTGTTAGGCAGAGGCAATGAGAGTCTGGGGTCTGCTTGGATTGTCTCCTCACTTTCTAGACATTTCTATGAATGTAAATATTCCTTCTCTTTGAGTTGTATCTTGCATCTTTAAAGAGATTGTTTCTTGTAATAATTTTCCCTGCATCCAGCTATAATTGTCAGAGAGTAAAATTTTGACTCTTTCAGGTTCAAAGACTTTAGAAATATTAATAAAAGGCTGTAGATTGTGTTTCATTAGATCCCGTTTGTTAAATGTAAATGGAAAAGGTCAGACATCCTTTCACTCCTGAATAGTCTGCCTTTCCACTGAGGTTTAGAGGACTGTGACTGGACAGCTGACTTAACCTCTGGATGCAGGACAGAGGTGATTCAGTATTGATGGTGCAGCACCAACACCAAAATTTCCCTTTTAGAATGGCTAGGGATTTGGATGGGAGAGAAATCAGTGTGGCACACAGTTCCACAGCTTGCTTTGACTTTTAACAAATTCCCAAGTCAGGCTGTGACTTGTTTGCCTCTGTCAGGGGTACTTTTCCTACTGGAACTTTGGGAGAATGCATGTGTGCCTGGAGAGAGAGACAGAGAGAGAGAGAGAGAGAGAGAGAGACAGACAGACAGACAGACAGAGAGAGAGAGAGAGAGAACCAACTGCATTAGCAGTCATTTTTATTTCTCCTCATGACCATCCATTTCTTTGTGCAACAAATTCCCCTGGCAAAATGAGGAGACAGTTTCCAAAATTCTATCACTCACTAGATAGAGCAGGGGACATATTAATGAACAGATATCAGTGAATTCTGGAGCTAGCATTTGCAAACTGCTATCTAAGTTTCATTTTTGATGGTGATAAAGGAATCTTTCTAAATCATGGGTTCATTTCATTGGCTAAAAATAGCTTCCATTTATTAATTACCACCCTATGTATGTTTTGTGTTTATATTCATTATCTCTGATCCTTCCAATTATTCTGCATACACTTGGTGGTGTCTGGGTTCTAAACTTGAATTCTGAATATTCCAGCTTCTCATTGCCTTGATTAGCTTACTCAAAAGAAGAATAGCATATGTTTCCACAAAATTATTCTTTCTCTGGAGAAATACTACTGTACTACCAAAGTTGAAAAAAGTTCTTAGCTAATTTTAATACAAAATTTAAATATTTATATAGTGGTTAAATAAATGTTGAAGAAGGGTGGAGCAGAGATGGCAGATAGATAACAGCTGGCTGCAAAAGTTCCCTGAGATAGTCAAACTAGAATTCAACATAATACAGAATGGTGAGCCCTAAACAGAGGGAGATGAATTCTCTCATCCCAAGAAGAAACTAAGATGAGATGAACCAATCAAACATACAGTCCTGGTGCTATTATTGGAACAGCTAAAGGTTCAGTGCTCCTGCTGCAGCAGGTGACTTGCCGAGCCATCTGAGGTCCCGCCGCTTTGACTCACTGGAGGTGCAGTCACACTGAGGTTGGGGGTCAGCCAGCCAAATGGAGAGCTGAGCTGGCAGGGAGTCTGCATCGACATGTGGTGAGTGATGGGAGTGGAGCCATTCCACAGAAAGGAGGGCTCCGGCAGATGACATTCTGGGACCAGGCAGGACTGGCAAGTATGAGAGGCAGCAGTGACTTCAGTCAGTTGTTCCCTTTCTGAACAGGATTGGTGGAGTGAGCTAGGCCTGGGTCATGTGACCTGGCTGAGACCCATTAGGTTGTCCAAGGTCCAGTCCCTGCAGCGGTGGCACACACCAACCACACTAACGCAGTGAAGTCTCAGAAGTTTGACTGACCCAGAAGGGAGGCAGTGCACAGTAGTACAGTGCAGGCCTCAGCAGCTTGACTGACCTGGAGGGGAGGGGCCAGCATACACTATCCCTGTCTGCAACTCACTAGCACACTGCAGTGGGAAGGGTCACCTAGCCAGCGCACTTCAAAAGAATTGTAACCAACCAAGAAAGAAACTGGGGCCTCCTAGAAGAAACAGAAAAGATGGGAAGAGGAAGCAACAAAAAAAAGTCCCCAGATCCCAACCCTGAGAACATTGACCCAGTACGGGTAAATACAAAGGAGAATGAGAACAGCAAACATACAATATCAGACACCGCACCAGTGTATATAAAGAGATATCTTCGGGACCTCATAGACAAGATCAAAAGAGAAATATTTAGCCAAGTAAAGCAAGATATAAGAAGAGTAACAAAAGAGATACTAAGCACCCCCTCAAGCAGACACAGACGGAAGAAGGGAGGAATTCAAACAAAGG